GGAATGCAGTGCTCCCTTTTCACCTCGTGTCCACAAGGCCGTGGGGGACCCGCCACAGGTGACAGCGCCTGTCCCTGGCCTCGCCAGCTAGCGGTGAAGATGGGCACCCATAACTCATTAAAGAGCTTGAAATTCAACTTACCATCCTTGAGTGAGAAGCTCAGCAGGTCCTGAGGGAAAAGGTAAGGGGATTGAGTGATTAGCCACAGGCAATCAGCCACTCAGTGACAAATACGTGACTCCTACCCAGGGAGAGGCTCAGACAGAACCCCTCCGCCCTGCACCCACGGTGAGAAGCCGTGCACACGTGAGCAGGTCAGGCGGCCATTGCTGAGAACTGCAGGCAGTGAGGGGGCTGCGTGACAGCCGTGTGCGTGCCCCACCAGCAGCCCGCATCTCGAGCTTTTCTCTGCCTGCTTGAACTGCACACAGAACAGGTGGGTGACTTCCTCAAGGGCACACAGCAAAGCTGCTTCTGACAAGAAGCTTGGCGGAACGTGGGCTCTGGGGACCCCCGATCACTGACGTTCAAATCTTGGCCTGGCCACTGACCCACTGTGTGACCTTGAGCCAGGTTTTTAACATTTCTGTTCTTCAGTTTTTTTCAATTATAAAATAGGGATGCTCACACTACCGACCTTGGAAGCTGCTTTGAGAACTAAATGAGGTGTTTCTTTCTTTTTTTTTAATTTTAAGAATTATTTATTTAATTTTACTTATTATTATTTTAAAATTTGCGCCACCGGGTCCGGGACACGAACCGCGGTCGACTACGTGGGAGTCCAGCGACATAGCCATTACACTAACTGCTGGTTCCCAGGACTTTTCACTTTTGTAGAAGTACTAGCATATAATACGCAACCTGTGAGAGTTGACAGTAAATATTCAATAATGATCGTTTGACATCAGCACTGCTGGTCATCTAATATGACGGTATGATGAAATGTGATGTGTCGTCCAGCCCGGCCCACTAGAAGCAGCTCTCAGACTGACTGTGGAAGGAAACGACTCAGCAGCCCCTACCAGGCATCGCGTGTACCTGAGTGATCACCGATGGGTCTTCCTTCAAGACGGGGTCCTTCAATAAAATCTGAGCAAACATGTCTGCGCCTTCGCCTCCCAGGCCACTGGCAAAAGCAGTCATGGTTGGCAAGACAGCTTCGGAGAGCTCCAGCCACTTCACCAGGCCCGTCACGAACTCTGTGCAGAAAGAGCTAAGAGACAGGCAGGGCTTAGATCCCGAAGTTTCCTGAAATCTGGTCTCAAGGCCACGGGGAAGTTTAGAGGAATGGAGGGGCCTGCTAAAATACAGAGATGGGGGACCAGCAGTTGGCATAATGTCTGTATCGCTGGACTCCCATGCAGTTGACAGTGGTTCGAGTCCCGGACCCAGTGGCTTAAACTCATGCTGCGCGTGTGTGCATGTGTGCCCAAGATCCCAAGAGGAGAATGGAGAAGGGATTGTGATGTGGCCATCCCCCCCCCGGGGGGGGATTTCTCGCTTTCTGTCTCTCTGGCGAGTACATGCACCTTATAGCAAAAACATCTCCAAAATAAATAAATAAATAAAAATAAAAATAAAAAAGTACAGAGATGGCTTTAGGGCCAGGTGGGGGCATGATCATAGGAAAGGTTTCAGGTGTGCATCCGGGGATCTTCCTGAGCAGGCCAGGCATGCATGCCCGTGATCTGGGCCAGCTGAGAGGGGGTGGGTTCCTGCGTGAAGGCCCTTTCGGGTGTGCCTCTCTTTCTCTATTTCTTGGAAGATACAAATAAGTAAACTTAAAAAATAACCCAGATCCCACTAATTTTAGACGTCAGCTTCTTTTCCCACCAAAACTTTTACCAGGGACTGATAAGTCACAGGGGCGAGGGCAAGGAGCAATAGGTGACCATGTGATCCAGTGCGCGGGGCCGGGCTCCGTGGGGGCTGAGCCTCCACGGTGAACAGGAGGTAGTCTCTGACTACAGTGCTCATGGAAGGTGGAGACGCTGCATAGCCACTTGATCCCGGAGCCTAGTGTGATGTTAGGACAGAGGCAGGAAGCAAGTCCTATGCAGCCCAAAGAGGGGCCCCAAAATCCACCAGCAGAGGTGAGGGCGTCACTAGAAAAGGCTTCCCAGAGAAGGGGACCTGCTGCTCTTGGCAATCACCAGGGATGTGTTTTCCAGAAAAATAGCCGGCTGCTGCAGAAGTGCATGAAGTGAGGAGGACGGGACCCCCACCCCATGTTCCCTGCCCAGGGCCCTGTCCACTGTGGGCACATGAGCAGGTCCTACGGGGGTCTCCAGGGGTGGCTGGGATGGGGGCTGCTCTAGGGAAGGAAGCTTGAGGCTGAGAGAGAGGCTGGAGGGCATGACCTGCAGCCCTGCAGCCCACAGGGCCCACGTGACTCCGGATGCAGGCCCTGAGAGAGAGTGACAGCCAGGTAGCAGGGAGGCAGGGGTGCAGAGCAGAGGGCACACTGGGAGGTGAGCATACCCTTCAGGGAAAGCCAGATCTAATTCCCAAAACCAGAGTCCCAGCTTGTCTCAATCCATACTGTCCTGGGCTCCAGCACCGGCTTCGGCCCCCGACAGGAACTTGGACCAGGTCAGGTAAACCCAGGTCCTTCAAAAATAAGCAGCACTCCCTTGTAGTGGGGCGATCCCAGGAGCGCCCCCAGGCTGCAAACCACACAGCATTTTCACACAGCAAAGCTGCTTCTGACAAGAAGCTTGGCGGAACGTGGGCTCTGGGGACACCCGATCACTGACGTTCAAATCTTGGCCTGGCCACTGACCCACTCTGTGACCTTGAGCCAGGTTTTTAACATTTCTGTTCTTCAGTTTTTTTCAATTATAAAATAGGGATGCTCACACTACCGACCTTGGAAGCTGCTTTGAGAACTAAATGAGGTGTTTCTTTCTTTTTTTTTAATTTTAAGAATTATTTATTTAATTTTACTTATTATTATTTTAAAATTTGCTATAGGGACTTTTCACTTATTATTTTTTTTTTTGGGGGGAGAGATTTTCACTGTAGGGCGCGTGCGCTCGCCAGACAGACAGAGAGAGACATAGAGACAGAAAGCGAGAAATCACCCCCCAGGGGGGATGGTCACGCTGCAATCCCTTCTCCTCCATTCTCCTCTCGGGATCTTGGGCACGCACGCACACGCGCCCGGCGTGAGTTTTAAGCCACCGGGTCCGGGACATGAACCGCAGTCGACTACGTGGGAATCCAGCGATCCAGCGACATAGCCATTACACTAACTGCTGGTTCCCAGGACTTTTCACTTTTGTAGAAGTACTAGCATATAATACGCAACCTGTGAGCACTGAGTTGACAGTAAATATTCAATAATGATCGTTTGACATCAGCTCTGCTGGTCATCTAATATGACGGTATGATGAAATGTGTTCTTTCGTCCAGCCCGGCCCACTAGAAGCAGCTCTCAGACTGACTGTGGAAGGAAACGACTCAGCAGCCCCTACCAGGCATCGCGTGTACCTGAGTGATCACCGATGGGTCTTCCTTCAAGACGGGGTCCTTCAATAAAATCTGAGCAAACATGTCTGCGCCTTCGCCTCCCAGGCCACTGGCAAAAGCAGTCATGGTTGGCAAGACAGCTTCGGAGAGCTCCAGCCACTTCACCAGGCCCGTCACGAACTCTGTGCAGAAAGAGCTAAGAGACAGGCAGGGCTTAGATCCCGAAGTTTCCTGAAATCTGGTCTCAAGGCCACGGGGAAGTTTAGAGGAATGGAGGGGCCTGCTAAAATACAGAGATGGGGGACCAGCAGTTGGCATAATGTCTGTATCGCTGGACTCCCATGCAGTTGACAGTGGTTCGAGTCCCGGACCCAGTGGCTTAAACTCATGCTGCGCGTGTGTGCATGTGTGCCCAAGATCCCAAGAGGAGAATGGAGAAGGGATTGTGATGTGGCCATCCCCCCCCCGGGGGGGGATTTCTCGCTTTCTGTCTCTCTGGCGAGTACATGCACCTTATAGCAAAAACATCTCCAAAATAAATAAATAAATAAAAATAAAAATAAAAAAGTACAGAGATGGCTTTAGGGCCAGGTGGGGGCATGATCATAGGAAAGGTTTCAGGTGTGCATCCGGGGATCTTCCTGAGCAGGCCAGGCATGCATGCCCGTGATCTGGGCCAGCTGAGAGGGGGTGGGTTCCTGCGTGAAGGCCCTTTCGGGTGTGCCTCTCTTTCTCTATTTCTTGGAAGATACAAATAAGTAAACTTAAAAAATAACCCAGATCCCACTAATTTTAGACGTCAGCTTCTTTTCCCACCAAAACTTTTACCAGGGACTGATAAGTCACAGGGGCGAGGGCAAGGAGCAATAGGTGACCATGTGATCCAGTGCGCGGGGCCGGGCTCCGTGGGGGCTGAGCCTCCACGGTGAACAGGAGGTAGTCTCTGACTACAGTGCTCATGGAAGGTGGAGACGCTGCATAGCCACTTGATCCCGGAGCCTAGTGTGATGTTAGGACAGAGGCAGGAAGCAAGTCCTATGCAGCCCAAAGAGGGGCCCCAAAATCCACCAGCAGAGGTGAGGGCGTCACTAGAAAAGGCTTCCCAGAGAAGGGGACCTGCTGCTCTTGGCAATCACCAGGGATGTGTTTTCCAGAAAAATAGCCGGCTGCTGCAGAAGTGCATGAAGTGAGGAGGACGGGACCCCCACCCCATGTTCCCTGCCCAGGGCCCTGTCCACTGTGGGCACATGAGCAGGTCCTACGGGGGTCTCCAGGGGTGGCTGGGATGGGGGCTGCTCTAGGGAAGGAAGCTTGAGGCTGAGAGAGAGGCTGGAGGGCATGACCTGCAGCCCTGCAGCCCACAGGGCCCACGTGACTCCGGATGCAGGCCCTGAGAGAGAGTGACAGCCAGGTAGCAGGGAGGCAGGGGTGCAGAGCAGAGGGCACACTGGGAGGTGAGCATACCCTTCAGGGAAAGCCAGATCTAATTCCCAAAACCAGAGTCCCAGCTTGTCTCAATCCATACTGTCCTGGGCTCCAGCACCGGCTTCGGCCCCCGACAGGAACTTGGACCAGGTCAGGTAAACCCAGGTCCTTCAAAAATAAGCAGCACTCCCTTGTAGTGGGGCGATCCCAGGAGCGCCCCCAGGCTGCAAACCACACAGCATTTTCATCACATTCCTCAGAGCTACTGTCTCCAAGGCCTGAGTGGAGAGACCTCAGGCCAGAGCTGCTGACAGGAGCAGTGAGGAGCTCGGGTTCAAAATCTGGCCCCACCACTGTATGGATCCAGGGAAGCCCTGAAATGGAGCTGATCAGGGCTGCCCTGGGGAGGGAAGGGAGGAAGCAGGGCTGGGCAGAGGGGGCAGTCCCGAAGGAAGCCTCAGCTGCCCGTGTCCCCGACCCCGGGGAGTTCTGAAGATGGCTGACTTCAGAGCTGCCTCTAGTGGGGTGAGAGGCCCGGGCCTTTGTATCCCCACATCAGCTAGTCACTGGATGCAAGTACCCCAGAAAAGGGCAGAATCTGAGCAAAGGGGACAGAAAGCTCTGGCTTTGCTGGCAGTCCTCCCGGCAGCTGGAGGGCAGGAGAAAGTCCTGCACTCCTGAAGGGGAACCTGAGTGGGGCAGGACCTTGGGAAAGCACCTAGGCCTCTCTGTGCCTCAGTGTCCTCACCTTGCAGACTGGGTTTAAGAGACCCACCTCGAAAGGCTGGAAGAGGATTAAATGAGATGACACACATAAAGCACCCAGAGCAGGGGCTGCTCAACTAATGTTAACTAGCATCAGTACTTTTATTTCCAAGGTGGCAACTGGGACAGTGGAGAATAAGGTTAAGGGTTCAACTCTGAAATCCAGTGCCCTGGGGAGAATCCTGGCTCCCTCAGTGCCTGGCTCAGTGTCCTTACTTCACCTCTCTGAGCTTCATTGTCCTCTGTGGTAAAATGCGGACGATAACATGACCTGCCTCCTAGACTAGTTGGGAAGATTAATGACATAGCAACTGTGGTTGGCGCAGGGAAACCCTCAATAATGGCAGCTACTGCTATTAAAAATTATTATAATTCACTCCCCTGCAATTTACTGGAATGACCCTGAGGTGGTATGTGGGTGCATCGGGGGGCAGGGGGTAACTGAGTGAACCAAACATTATTTAGGGGTAAATTTATATGCAAAAAGGGCTCAGGGCCAAGGGCAGCCTGATGGCATGACTCTGCTGGTCCACAGAGAAAGTCTTGGCGCTGAGAAGCATCGCCTAACAAGGACACTGGCTCGAATCCCAGCTCTGCCTCGAGCTGTGTAACCTCAGACCAATCAGTTCAGCTCTGTATGTCTGCGTTTTTTATCTGTGTACCACTGGCGATAACGATCACACCTATTCCATATGGCGCTGGGAGGAATACCTGAGTGTCTCAGTCCGTTTTCTGTTGCTGTAACGGAATAGCACTGGGGTATTTTGTAAAGAATAGAGGTTTATTTAGTTTGTAGAAAGTCTAAGGTCAAGAGGCCACATCGGATGAGAGCCTTTCTACCACATCATAACATGGAAGAAGGCATCACATGGTGAAGGGCAGAGGTGGAAGCCGGTGTATGCCAAAGGGGCTGCAGAGAGAGCTGAGCTAACAGCTGAGCTAACGCTGCTGAGGACTCACTCTCTCCCATGATAACCCAGTACTCTATTACTCCGGTATCCCATGAATGGCCTTTATTATCTTATCTCCTCTTAAAGGTCCCACCTGGTCTCCCTCTCTAAAATACAACCACATGGTGGATTGAGTTGCTAACACTTGAACTTTTAGGCAATATATTTAAATGATAGCACTTTGCCCCTGACCCCCCCAAATTCATGTCCTTCTCCCATCTTAATATCCCCTGATGTCTTAACTTGTTCCAACACCAACTCAGAAGTCCACAGTGCAGAGGACCACCTAAGTCAGATATGTATAAGATTCATGGCATGTTTCATCCCAAGGCAAACTTCCCTCCAGCTGTGAACCTATGCCATCAAAACAAGTTCTCTACTTTCAAAATACAGAACAGACAGCCCCATTCCAAAAGGGAAAAGTAGGAAAGAAGAAAGGAGTAACAGGTCCCTAAGGAAGTCCAAATCCCAACAGGGAAAACATCAAACCCCAAACCACGTGCGTGCCATCTCCCAGACACACTGAGGGATGTGGATCCCTAAAGCCTTGGGCAGCCCCGTCCTTATGGCTTTGCTGGCTCTGGTCACTAACAGTTCTCACAGGTTGGAGTTTGGTGCCTGCAATTCTCCCAGGCTGGCATTGCGTGCTGGTAGCTCTACAGTTCTGTGGTCCTGGGGGTGCCTTGCTCCTGTGGCTCCATCAGGCATTGTCCTATTAGGAGCTATCTGTGGAAGCTTTGGCTCCAATCCTAGATTTCTGCTCCACATTGCCCCCCAGACACACTGAGGGATGTGGATCCCTAAAGCCTTGGGCAGCCCCGTCCTTATGGCTTTGCTGGCTCTGGTCACTAACAGTTCTCACAGGTTGGAGTTTGGTGCCTGCAATTCTCCCAGGCTGGCATTGCGTGCTGGTAGCTCTACAGTTCTGTGGTCCTGGGGGTGCCTTGCTCCTGTGGCTCCATCAGGCATTGTCCTATTAGGAGCTATCTGTGGAAGCTTTGGCTCCAATCCTAGATTTCTGCTCCACATTGCCCTACTAGAGTCTCTCTGTGGGATCTCTGTCCCTGCAACAAGTCTCGCCAGGGCCTCCAGGCTGTTCAGGACATCTTTTGAAATCTAAGTGGAGGTGGCCACGTCCTCATATCTCTTGTATTCTCTGAGCCTGCAGAATCAATATCACATGGATGCTGCTGAGGTCTACTGTTTGTACCTTTCTGAGTGGCAGGTTTTACCTCACCCAATCCCTCTTGTGCCACATAGGAGTGATCAAGGGGCACCACAGTGAGATCTGGGGAGAAGATACTTGTAGTTCTGGGCAGCAAGTCTGTAGAAAGAGCTCCTGGTCCTCCTCTTGAAACCATGTTGCCCTCTCAGAGCCATGGGTCTGTGACAGGAGAGGTGGCCTCAAAGATTTCTGCAATGCCTTCAGGGTCTTTCTCACAGTTGATAATCCCTTTTATCCATATGGATCCCCTTAGCAAACAGTTGCTCAGCCTTGGTTTCCACTCCTGAAAATGCTCTTTCCTTCTCTAGCACATAGCCACACTAAGAATCTTCCCAGTCTTTCTATTCTGCTTCCCTTTGAATTATAAATTGTCTCTAAGTCATCTCTGCTTTTTTACCTCCACATAAGCAGTTAAAAATGGACAGGCACCAGCCTAAATGCTTTGCTGGTTAGCGATTTCTTCCACCAGGTATCCTAGTTCACTGCTCTTAAGTTCTGCATTCCATAAAGTCCTAGGACATGGACACAATGTAGCCAAGGTCTTTGTGACCTTATGACAAGGATGACCTTCACTCCAGTTTCCAGTATCTTATTCCTCATTTTCATCTGAGACCTTGTCAGAACGAACTTCAGATTTTTATCAACATTTTGGTCACAACCACTTAAATAACTGCTAAGAAGTTCCAGACTTTCCTCATTTATTTATTTATTTATTTATTGAGAGTTCCCCTGAACACCATTAATGCTCTACTATGGCTGGCCCTGATCACCTCTATGGCTGGCCCTGATCACCTTTATGGCTGGCTCTGATCACTTCTCAAAGGTCCTATC